CTATTATTCACTCGAAAAATATTTTATTTTAGATAATTAAGCCTACAGGTGAAAAATTATTATTGTAATATAGGTCAATCGTCATTATCATCTGTTCGGCTTATCATTATTATTTGTTTTTATATTATATATTTTGTAGTTTTTATTAGCTTCATGGTTAATGATTGAATTCGTTGACATTTTTGTTTAGTTTTTATTTTAATCTATTGTATATTTAACCTATTGTATAAGCACGTTCAAAGAATACTGTAAATTAGAAGTTTGATTTTGACATTAACGTTTTATGATTAGCTTGAAGAAACATTAGAATTTGATTATGTATAGAAGCCAATACAATATACGATATTCAAAGCTGCAAATAGGCCTACATACAATTTTTATATAGGCTTATATTTTTTTTTATTTATCCTAGTAGGCCTACTGTATCTTTACGTAAAACTGAAAAACTTTTTTTGTTTTGTATTTGTCAATTATTATATGAAGGTGTACCGGTAAGCCTCAAAATGAGAACTTAATTGACAATGCATTGCTCTTCAACTCATTCTTGTATAACAAAAAATAAATAAAATAATTAAAATTGTGAAAAAGAAAACAAATATAATGTAAATACGTCAATTTCATCCGAACTTTCTTAAACGATCAATGTCATGATTGATGTCCCACTTTTAGACACTTTTACTAGGGTTTACTCTCGGTCAACTTGGTTATTTTTAAGTTGAACATCTTTCTGTTGCCATACGCTAATGTTTTACTTAATAGTTAATCCACGATTTCTTGTATAGTACGATTGAGTGTCGTTCTTCCTGATAATACAGGATTGTGAAATTAATATGTTGTCTTTATTGGTTGCTAATGTTTCTTTTATTGTCACAGTGGTCGGAAAAATGATCGTTTATGATTGTTGATACAATCTAAACAGGAACCTCACAGATTAAAATCGAAAATGCTTACATACGTGCGGCCTATTGAGATTGTTTCTAATGCGATTGGCGGTTTATGAAACGCCACGTAATTAAGGTCAGGTTATCAATATCATTCATTGTAATTTATGGTTCTGTGTCTATAAGGCAAAAGCATAAGATATAAGACTAGTTATTAATCAAAATTAATTGGATTCTGTAAATGAAGACAAAGATAAAAATCATCCTTCTATTAAAAAAAAATGCTGTTGATGATCATGAAAACGATTATGATGATGATGACGATTATAATGATGATGACGATGATGATGACGGTGATTATATGATGTGGATGATGATGACAACGGCAATGATAATGACATTGACATTGGCCTATATTTTAACATGTCTCTAGGCCTATATGGTCCGTGAAAGTACGGTACACGGTAGTCTGCATTGAAATATTTCAACGGCGCCCTCATCTTATACTTAGTCGCGACTTCATTAGTAGCGCTATGTCAAGTGATATTTTATAAACAAAGTAAAATAAAGGTAGTAATGATTGGGGTAAAACTCCAGGGGAGCATTCTGAAAAGAAACTTGATCTTGAGATACTTTAGAATAATTATATGAGTACAGTAGTCAATATTCAACCCGAGAAAACCCCTACAGTATTAAAATGCAAAATTTGTGCATTCATTCGATGCGTATTAGACGATTATTTCGGCTTAAATTTTAACCAAAGTAATAGATAAAAATGGTTTAAGTGGATCGAACTATTAACACTTGCGTTAATACTAGCAAGACGCTCTACCGATTAACATAAATACGTTTATGTGCTGTCATGACCTAGACCATAGATAAAGGCTTTCTGAATACATTTATAAAACGTCTTTACGCCTAGTTTCGTAAATGATAAAGGGATAGGCCCTATGTCTATTAAAATAAAACAGATGGATTAACACAAAATTAGAAATACGTTGTGAAGGACACATGGCTACATTACTAAGGATAATCTAACGGTCAATTAAATCAAATGGTACATTGACTGCAGATAGGCCTTTTATATACATGATTCAACCCACTACATAGCCGAATTTACTTACAGCTCATTTACTGTTTTATAATTTCCTGGCGTCTCATCCCATGCAGATCCGGCCCCACCCTAACCACACTACATTGTTTATAGAGACTATCCCTTAATAGAAAAAATCGTAAACGAATCACCTGTGTACACAAACCTATGCACCGATGATGATGATAAAAATGTATTGTTATATGTTAACAAGTATTCTAAAAATCAGGATTAATCATAAACTGACGTAGGCATAAGTATAAATATGACAGTAAATGTGTTGGTTTAATATGTGTTCTCGACTCATAAAATAATAATGATGTTAATGATAAAAATGTTACATATAGTCCAACTGAAATAATGTTTACTCTGCAAACGAAAGCTTGTTTCTCGAAAGATATTTACACTAGTCTATAAAAGTACAGCCAGTTTCTGTTGACATCATTAGTCTAGACACACATAAATTCATATATATTTGTAGTCCTTAATCAATAAACTTCGTAAGATGCATTTATTTTCTTTTTAGGCCTACATACAGTATTGGTACACTCAGATGGCCGATTGGCGGTAACGGTATAATCCCATACGGTTCGTCGGGTGCTTGCTAACTTGGTGTAGGTTTATATTTTTTATTAATATTATTTTTTTTTCTTATTTTCTCGAGCGCAAAAAATACATCGTTTATTTACTACATAAATACTACAATATTTTTTTGGATATGAAAGAGACGCAATTTTTAGATAGTATTCTTTATAACTAATTTCCATTGTGCGATCAAAATATTCTGTTTTGTCAAATAAATAATAATCATAACTTCCGGAATTTATGTCATCTTTATGAAAAACGTGTCGATAAAGATTAAAATATTAACTCGAGACGTATTTCATAATGGATAACACATGTCTAACCCTGAGATGTCAAAGACACGTGAAAGTACCGTTAATATTAACTTTATACTCTGAAAATAACGTTACAGTATTTGAAAAATTTGATGATCTGCGCGCCTGGTATTAACAATAAAAAAAAGTTTGTTGAACGTGGATCTTATGTTCTGAATTTAGAATGTTTTATTTATGTGTATACAAAGAGTTATCTTGATCGACGAGCTGGTAAAACATAGGGGTTAGAAGGTCAAATCGGCGTAAACCCTACACTTGAGCACGTATCATCAACTTACCTCGACCAGTGTGTGATTGGAGGCGGACACAAGTAGACATCGTGCTATACGTCAAACTATCGGAAACCGTTCGACGCTTGCGAATGTGACTTTTATAGCGATGGAAGCGATCATGGTAAAATTAATCTGGCCTAGCAGATCCTTCTTCAACTCTTTTATTCCATGTTTGTTAATTTACACTATCATTCCCGATGTATCGATTGCCTGTAAAGAAATAACGCGATATTGGCGACCAATGAAGGTGGACGTAAGGACAGAGTTAGCAAACATTGTCGTATCTGGGGTCGTGGTACGGACATTCAATAACCACGAAAATTCAAAAAAGGCTTATGCTGCTGAAGTTTACTTTGATGAAATTTACAAAGGAGTAATCCCTATAAAAAATGCAACGCTGGTCAATAAAGCACCACCGACATACAGAGTGGAAAACTTTGGAGACGAACGATATTGTTTGTCTCCTGTGATACCTGGGGGTCATTACATTTTCTTTCTTAAGGCAATCGCCAGCCCTGGGGTAAGGCCACAAGATGGTGGTATAAGGCTTTATGCAAGATATGACGATCCTTCTGGAGCAGTTATCGATTTTGATTACAACACGGAAGCTAAAGTTTTGAAAACTATAGGTGAGTTGGTTTGCTGTAAAGTTGTTTATCATTTTATTGTAGGTGTATGAATATGCATAATAATAGGCCTAGGTCAAGTTGCACACGAATGGGAGACAGGAGGAATTGTCCCCAAACCGCCGGAAATGCATGGGCACCTCGTATGATTGCAGTATCGAAATATGAATAACATTCACAATTTGTACCATTCTAAATCATAAAATAATCTCTCCTTTTGAACCCATGTGTTCTAAGTGGAACCCTATCCGGAAGAGCAAGAGATTCCAGTGACCAACATTTGACGCCGTCAGCAAATTTGTGCAGTTGCCACTGTTTAGGCTATATAGGCCTACAGGTTATGCCTATCAGAAT